TGTTAATTGTTTCTTTTGCTGTGCAGAAGCTTTTAGTAACCATCCTCACCTACCAACCATTTTATTACCTTAGCACCTCATGACTTGGATGTCAGTTTGCCCCAGGGACAATAGTTGTAAAATCTAGAAATTTAGAAGTAGAAGAGTTATTGAGGTACCTGAATTATCTGCTCTCATGTCAGATTGCTTATTTCCTATTTTACTCCTTCGTCAAGTCAGGGCACTTTTAGTTCTCTGTGACAGAAGCTTCACTCAATTCTTTTCTAAATTTTTTAGTTGTGGTGAAATACACTTAACATAAAATGTACTATCCTAATAACCATTTTTAAGTGTACAGTTTCATAGTGTTGAGTACATTCACATTGTCAGTCTAGCAAAACTAAAATTTAGTATAGTTATATAAATTTTATTTTATACACTATTTTTTAATAGTAGAACCCAGATGTTTTATGTCCAAAATCCATCTATTTTATATCTCAGCTCTTTTTTTATTTTTTATTTTTTTTAAGTTTTGTTTTACTTTGCTTTCGGTTTTAGATTCACAAACTTAGAAACTTGTAACAGGCTTGACGCTAGGTTCTTTATTGTAAACATTTCCCAGTATTTGTACTTTTCTAATAAACTTGACTGGATCAAATCATATTGTGATTATGGGGAGAAATTGTTGACTATAGAGAACAGTGGACTATAGTGAAACAAAATGATTTAGGAAATTTAGCAGGGACTTTTTTAGTGGTTGGTTGTTTTTTGGGTGGACATAATATTAAGAGGTAAAATACAAGATTTGGGGTGAAATAGCTTTCTGTTGTGTTCCGTATTGCTGGGTCTTCATGTAAATATTGGATCAACTTTGGTTTTCCACATTTTAAGGAAGAGAGAGAAATGAAGCCTGAGAAGTGGCTTAAAAATGGTCCTCTATTCAGACACTTGTGATGGGGAACCATTGAACATCGAGCTCTGTGCTGGGTAGTAGGTTTTTTCTGCCACTAAACAATTGTGTGACCTTTGAAAAATAAATTTAAAAAAATAAATAGTAATGTAATTATGTTGGAAGGAAAAGTTTAGGTTAAATTTAAAAATGTGTTCTTAACAATCCAAGCCCTTAAACAAGGTATGACTTATTGAGGAAGCCCATGAAAATTTTTTATATGCTACATGCTAGGTTCTAGAATTGCATATCAGCTGCACCACAGGGAGCCTATAATTTCCTAAATAGGAAATGTTACATTTTTTGATCATATTGAATAAAGTGCTTAACAATTTCATCCAATAGTATTACCTTAAATCATGGGAGAGTGACGCATAATAATCTGATGTGTTTAGGAAATCATGGATTTTAAAAAAAAACTCATTCCCAGTGAGATTTCCCATATGCCCTTTTCTTACCAACTTTTATACCTGGTCTGTATGAGGCCCTGAGATGCTCTTATTGCCACAACTCTCACCTTTTGTAATGGAAAACACATATCTATACATGGGAACTAATTACTAATTAAGTAATGGTCTGTTATATTACTTCTGATACTTCTGTAATGCCCTGATCATCTTGACTTCCTCCAGTGTGCATGGATTATGCTTTGCATGTGATTGGTGCTTATTTGACTTAGTAGATGCTCTCTGTTGAAATAAATTTGCTTTGTATTTAATTGATTCCATTTTCTATATATATGGGCATTTTCTGAAACTAGTTATCAGTTATTTCAAGGACTAACATTTTTTTTAGCTGTAGTAAGCATATAGGCACTTTGAATTTCACCTTTTGGAATGTTTTGCTTTTTTTGTTAATTGAATAAAAGATCATTTTATTTCCCTGGTAGCATGAAAATCTCAATATTCTGTGTTACTATAAAATCTTCTGATTTTATTAAATGATGCATATCTCTGATATTGGCTTTGTGTTTTGTAACTGTTAATAAAATTTAACATTAAACAATTACATTTTCTCTTGCGTTTTAGTATTACAGTTCTTTTTCATACTGAAACAGTAGATACTCACCTAGATAGCCTGTAAATTAGGCCAAATTTTATTCTTTATTGTTTAGGATTTTTAAAATCCTTCACAATATTTTGTTTACTAATTAAAACTAAAATTTTTATGGGAAACAAATCTAGTGGCATTCATTGGAAGAACTTAGTAATTTTTCAAGTTTCTTAAGAAATGTAACTGATTGTAGTTTTGGGGTTTTTTTTAAAAGCTATTCTCTAAATTTATAGTATTTACTACATCTAGAAATATGAACACTTGCATGTTCCTTTCCTTTTCACAATCATCAAAGGTAAGAGGACAAGAATATTCTTTGATAATGAATAGATCATTGTCTGCTCAAGCTGATAAATCATGTTGAATTTTTCCAAGGGACAACAAAATAGAAATCTAAAATAATAATTCAATCCCCAGTGTGACAAAGGGGAAAAGGATATGACCATGACCCACTGTTGGTTTTTTTCATTAGTTTTTTTACTTTATATCATTCATGGTTAAGTGCACATATGTGGAAATAGTCTTGAACTATCTTAGTTGTGAACAATTAAATCACTAATTTTAAAAATAGTAATATAGGTATTGCAAACTCATGGTCTTTTGGAGGTTTATTATGATGAAATTAAAGGGATAAAATACTTTTAAGAGTTCTTATAACTATTTTGAAGAGGAAATGTACAGATCATTTGTTTTAAAGAATTAGGCTTTGATTATAGTTTTACAGTGAAGTTCATTCCTTTCCTTATCTGAATGCCTCTTTAAATTAGTTTCTTTCATCAAGCCCACAAACAGTTCTATTAGTTAAGGTTTATTTCTGTGAGTGAACTTTTAAAAAAATCATATCATGAATTCATCATGTAAGTGAATAAAACCTTTTCTTTGCTTGTGTTCTGATCTTCCCCCCAAGTATGCCAAACGTTATTTGTATTCAAGAAAGTCAGTAAAATAATTTTTAAAAATGCTTCTTTTCCCCAAATAAGTTCATATTCTTCTCACCTTAATTGGAAGTGAAAAGAGATGACTAGAGCTGAATTCCCCACAACTGAAGATAGTTCTAAATTGAATGGCAGAATAGGCAGGATGGTTCTTATATGGTTATAATGGTCCCCCTAGGTTTTTAGAGAAAATCTGCGGCCACTTCAGCTACACTTGAAAGTAAAAAGCTAGTATTTCCTGGTTGCTCAATTTGCTGTTTAGAGATGTAGCTTAAAATAGCCATCTGTGGGGTTCGACTGATCCATGACAGCATAACAGTGTTGGACCAGCCTCCCTTGGCCCTAAACTGTGGACCTATTTTAAGCTATGACCCTAAGAACTGACAGGGCATACTGTACCCTCTTAGCTGAGTGCCACTTCTGTATTTCCAGGGCTGGACAGATCACTTATAAACTTCTACGGAATTAAGGCTGTCATTGTAATGTTTTGGAAATTTTTATGCCCACCTACACAAACTTCCAGTTTGCCTTGATATATCAGACTTACATTAAAATAAATACCATTGTAGGGGAGAAAAAAAATTTTTTTAATTAGAAACCCTATGTTTTATCCATGTATTTTGAGTATTTCCTGTTTGGGTGAACTGCCTATAAAACAAAATTCCCAAGAGTCATTTGATGATCATTGTGATGAAATTATGCTGTTTTTAGATGGTTAGTACGCTAATGCCTGATTCTGTGATCATCTTTGCCTAAATTACGTGCTCTCATGTCAGATTGCTTTTTCCTCTTGTTTTCTATTTTACCCCATTAATTGTTAGTATCCCTGGTTGCCTGATTTTCTCTTTTTCTTGTTACTTACCACCTCTTAACTGCTTATCTTTCTTTGTGATTATTCCTTAAATTCCTACTGAGTGTAGGCACAAGGCTAGGTTCTGACAACATAAAAGTGGAAGTTTTGCCTTCTAAAAGCATATGTTGTAGTTGAGGAGACAGAATACTTATTAGAATAAAAAATAATGCATAGAAGTAATATACAGTGGCATGTACTAAAAGTTAAATGAATGGTAAAACGCAGTAATACTGAAATAAAAGCAAGATGAAGGCACCAAGAGCTATGACAAAAATGGAAGGCTTGGACTGATTCTTAAAGGAAAGGAGAGCCATAACAAACATGAATAAAGAAGGAAGGCATTGTCTGAGGAAACAACACGTGCAAGAGAGGAAGCTGGAATATGCTTTATGTATTTGAGAAAGAATGGGTTGATCATCTCAGTTGCAGTGGAGACTTTGAGGGAAATGTTAGAAGATGAAGTTGTCAATAATACATTGAACTTTCAAAAGGAGAGAACAGAACTGAAGTTACCAGAGTTGGGAAGTGGAGAGGGGTAAGGTGAGAATTGGTAAAGGTCCATGAAAAATGATTACATTGTATAGTGTTGAATATACTAATGATCCTGATTTAAACATCTCGTTTTGCACACACGTAGATATTCAGCTCTGTACCCCACAGATATGTACAATCAACTATGTTAGTGTTACAATACAAAAAAAATGATGAAATTGGCAAGTTGGTAGAAGTTTGGTTATGGAATGACAAAGTCAGATCAAGGACAGGTGACAAGTCACTGAAGGGGTCTGTGAATGTTTATTTTTGGAGGGGTTGGGGAAGGGAAGTAGTGATTTAGTCTTATTATCCAGCAGAAGTAGGAGAAATAGGTAAGCCAGTTTTAGGACCACAGGTTAGACAAGATCTCAGTGATGGGAAATCTGAACTAGAGTGTAAAGTGTGTGATTTCCAACAGTTTTTAAGAAAAATGACATTATTTGATGTATGAATATAGAAAGGAAAAATTAAGAGTAACTCTTAAGAGTTTGAGCCTGGGTGACCATGAGAATGATTGTATCATTAAAAGAAATCACATTCAGAAATAGAAAAAGAAGGTGACAAATGTAAATTTTGATGTTAAGTCTGAACTAATAGTAAAACATTTCATTAGCAATGTCTAGTTCATATTTAGAGATTGGCTCTGGGAAGAGGGATCAGGGTTGACATTCTGGATTCAGAAGTCTTCTGCATAGTGATGTTGGTTGAAATTATGGCAGTGTGTGAAATTGATGAGGAGGACAGTTTTGAGTGTAGAAGTGTAGAAGGTAAAAGGGTAGAAGGATGAGAACTGAACTTAGGGCTATACCCAGTTTGAGGGGGCCAAAAGGAGGAAGTTGAGTCAAGAAAAGTGATAGCCATCAGAGAGAGAGAAAACACAGGGTGGTATATCAGCAGCTAAGAGGAATCTCAGATAGTATTGAATGTTGTAAAGATGGCTTAGTGAGTGTTGAGAAAATTTGGTAAGTTTTGTGTTTGAATCATTTGGTGTAAGACCTAAGAGAATTGTGCTGTTCAATATAAAAGCCACTAGCTACATGTGGCTTTTTAAAGTAAAATTAATTAAATGTTCCATTTCCTCAGTTACATTAACTACATTTCAAGTACTAATAGCCATGTGTGGCTAGAGGCCACCACATTGGACAGCACTGATATAGAACATTTTCATTACCACAGAAAGTTCTGTAGGACAATATTACTTTATAAAGCTTAAGGAATGCTAAAGCTTAAACTTCAAGCATTTAAATGGGTGAGTGAGTGGTGAAAATATTGACTTGGCAAGTGTAGGATACACTTTGGAAAAGTTTGATGAAAACAAAGGAAGAGGACAATTTCTTCAAAGCTGATAAAGAAAGGCTTTTTAAGACTATATTGTGTTAATTCATTTAGTAAATATTTATTGAGTGCCTACTGTTTGCCAAGTACTGTGCTAGGTATAGACAACACAATGCAAAAGAAGTCATTGAAGAGTGTATAAGTATACAATTGGATCAGGGATATTGAGGGGTTGGAAATCAGATTATGATAATGCTTTAAACAGAAGGACCAATCTTCTAAGGGAACATGAAAGGGCGGAATATAATCAAATGAGAGAATTTGAGATTTCCTGGAGGAGGTGATACAGCAGGATGGCTAAAAATCAGCCAGGTTGGCAGAGCAAGGACATTCCAGGCCAAAGGTCAGAGTCATGGAATAGTATTATGTGATCAAAGATAGTTTGATGTGTTCTGACCAAGAGTATAGGTGCTGTAGTCATGATGGCAAAGACCAGGTCATAGAGATTATTCCCTTGCCATGATAAGGAATTTAAACTGTATCTTGAAAGTTATGTGGCGCCTTCAAGGAACCTTCAGTGGAATATCACGATCAAATTTACATTTTAGATTGCACAGTGTGGACAGTGGATCAGAGGAGGCTAATCTAATTTCAAGGAGATTGTTTCCATACAAAGATGGAACTAGTGGAGTGGGAAGGACTTGAGAGTGTGGAGAATAAGAGGATAGCAAGATGTTTTTTGAGTTGATAGGAGGAGATGAAATCAAATGCACAAATGGAAGTGCTTCTCAGATGAGATTTAAAAAAACATGAGTCAACATTTGGAGACGTAGTCAGATGCTGGTGATAGAAGGGAGAATGAAGAGACTTCTGGATAACTTCAGTCTTAATAAATTAGGAGGCAAAGTCATCTGTTGATTGTAAGGTGCAAGGAAAAGAGAATGAGGGTTTGAGAACTGAGGGAAAAAATTGAAATGGCCAATGAAAGGAATATCATATATACATTGTCAACACAGGATGAATGAAAGGGTATCACGCAACAGTGATGGCCCAGGCAGTGTCCCATTAGAATAAAATTTAAGGGCTTTGTTAGTCCTCTTTCCTTAAGCATTTGCCAGCCTAAGAACACAACACAGTGGATGGTCAGAATTACCAACAGGTATAGCAGAAGTTCAGAGAAGCATGGGAGATTAGCGAGGATACCAGATGAAGCCAGAGGAGCATTACTGGTGAGAAGAGCAAGGTGAGGATGAAGATGAAGTTCAGAAATGTTGGGAGCGACAGAGGTCAGAGAAGAGATAGTGCTGAACTTCTGGAGGTGGAGAAGTTCTAACTGATGACGAAGTTTGAGCTGGGTTTGTTGGTTGAGACATCTTGAGCATAGAACTGATTTTTCTTTCCCAACCTGCTTTCCCTCCTGGGTTCCTTTGTCTCAGTTAATGGTATCATTCTTCTTCTCACATAGACCAGAATCCTTATAGACTGATTTGATCTTCATAATTTAATGATGTTATAACCAAAGTTTGTTGTTTTATGCTTGAACCTTGGAATTAGACAGTCCTTGATTCAAGTCTTGTTTTTGCCACTTACATCTTTTTTTTTTAAAGATGACCGGTAAGGGGATCTTAACCCTTGACTTGGTGTTGTCAGCACCACGCTCAGCCAGTGAGCGAACCGGCCATCCCTATGTGGGATCCGAACCCGGGGCCTTGGTGTTATCAGCACCGAACTCTCCCAAGTGAGCCACGGGCCCGCCCTGCTACTTACATCTTGATCAAGTGTTTCTCGAGGTCTGAGTGTTCTCATCAGTAAAGTTGCAATAATCATGTTGCTTTGGTGGGGTAATATGTGTAAAGTGCACAGTGCTTAGAACACAGAAAAGTTTTCACTGAGTGCTAGCAACTATTTATTATTATTGTAATTATTAGTTATTTTTTTGTCTAGTTCATTATGTCTACTGTCAGGCTCTCTTTCAGGGCCTCGTCATTTGGAAGGTAAAATAACTTCTTTCCTAACTGGTATCTCTGATTCTTGATTTTCACATCTTTGGTCTATACTTGACATTTCAGGATTCCTAAGACCCATATCTGATGGAATCCTGTTCCCATCCTCACAACCTTTATAGGTTTCCAATGGCAGATTTTTCAAGTTATCCAAACTTTCAAGAGGTAATAGAGCCATGCATAGAATAAAAGTGGTGATAGAGACTGTACCAGTTCATTACAGGTTAAGTATCCCTTAACAGAGATACTTGGAACCAGAAATGTTGTGGATTTTGGATTTTTGGAACATTTGCATTATACTGGGAGCATTTCAAATCTGAAATGCTCCAATGAGTATTTCCTTTGAGTGTCATGTGCTCAAAAAATTTTGGGTTTTGGAGCATTTTAGATTTTGGATTTTCATATTTCGGATGCTCAGCCTGTACTACCTGTGGTGACTCATTTTACCTCTAAAAGACTGGAAAGAGCTTTAAAACTTTAAAGACCATTTTAAATTCCATATAGAAGTAGTCAGGTTTTCCTTCTTTGGTTCCCCCTTTCCTCCCATCCATCTTAAATGAGTACAATTCAGGAGCTTTAAAACTTTAAAGACCATTTTAAATTCCATATAGAAGAAGTCAGGTTTTCCTTCTTTGGTTCCCCCTTTCCTCCCATCCATCTTAAATGAGTACAATTCAATATAAAATGAATGGAATGAGGGAAAATTAGTTTGCTTTTTAGATATTGCAAATTCTGTTTAAGGGAAATATTCAGATCTTTCTGAGGTTGTTTGTCTACTTGGAAGGGTTACTTCAATGTTAACTTTTCCCTGTATAAATAAACAGACAAAAAGTTGAGAATAGTTGACAGTTATACGGATAAAGATGGGAATAAATAGAAATAACTAGAAATCAAAGAGGAGTGTATGTCTTCATTTTAACTGAATTTTTCTCCCCAACTCCTGCCTTATTCATCTGTGTATTCCCACCATTTATAATGCCTAGCCCATGGGAGGCATGCAGTAAATGCGTGTTGTAGCAAATTGAACTGGATGTATGTACTAGAGCCGCTTTATACATTGGACTATGTGTGTGTCAGCATCCTAAATTTTGATGAGGAAAAATAAATACTAATTGAGTCCTTTTATTTGTGTGCCAGTTATTAATTTGTAACCCTGAGAACTACTTAAAATATTGTACAATCTAATAATTTTGGAGGAAAATGTGAACTTTTATTTAGAACCTAACATCAGAGATTTTCATCATTAAAAATCATTATTCCAGTGATAGATAATAGGAACAATACTGCTGCAAGTATAAGAAAATAAAGGTTTTCTATGGAATATGGGATCTAAAAAAATGAATGGGGCCACTCTCAAATATGTATACTTAAGAGCAAGTGCCATATTTTTAAAACTAGGCATTTATAGAGGTCTATTAATTTCCTTATGATACTGGGGTATTGCCAATCCTTAGGACATTAATTTGGGGGTCTCTATCACTGTTTTCTCAAAATCCTTATTTAGGCACATTTGATTATTATGACTCAATATGTATTTTATATGTTTTTGCATCATTTGTAAACTGTGTATACATTTGTCCCTATAATTCCTGAAATTTGTTAGTCTGCTTTTAAATTTTTTATTTTTGCATTATTGAAATTTGTGTTTATATGTGTATGATTATTTGTATTTTTCTGTTTCAAAGTAGGGCTTACTAAAGTGATTCTTTGATAAAGTCAAAACACATCTATGGTAGTCTCTAACTTTGCAGTTTCAGGAACTGATTTTCAGCAATCAGATCCTAGAGAAATTCGTTTATAAAATCAGGATTAACAAGAGGCAGATTTATAAACTAGAATGCTGTTTTTTTCTTTTTAATATAAGCTCAAAGATAAATCTAATTACTGGAATGCTCTTAATCCTTGTATTTCCGGTGCCAAGGTACCTGAGAAACCGAATAATCAAAATTAACTGGTGAGCATGGGCTCAGCATTGGGAGGTGGATAGTCTTTTCGAGTAATAACCTATCTCAGCAGGCTATGTATGATGTATGTGAAAGAGTATAATGACATGTGGTCATTAGGATATTTCTCTGAATTGAAGCTACATCCACTATTATAGAGTTTATCTTTCTAATAACTAGAATTTTTTTCTTTTAGTTATTGGGGCTTTTTTCCCTAAAGATGACAGTTCTAGATAAATAGTGATACATTCTTACTATTCAGTACTTTTTTCCATGTAAGTGGAAAGGTAAATACATCTACAAATTAAATTATAACCACTTCAAATCATACCAGTACAGTGGGTTTTGAGCAAACTTGACTGTGAGCTTTTAGCAGCTTCCGTGGGCAAACTTTTGCCAGTGTGATTGGGTGGTTTTTGTTTTTTAATACTTTTTTCTTTATGCCTTATTTGTGTTGTTCTGAAAGACAGGGTCTGCAAAGTAGAAAGCCAGAAGAAAATATTAGAATTTATTTTTCTAATCAAATCATTTAAATATCTACTTCTT